TAATAGGACATAACAGGAGTCAGTTTGGTGTTGTGATAGACATCAGGCCAGAACCGGGGAGACGATGAGTTTTAGTGTTGCCTTAGGCAAGGGTGTGTGTGACCTTGGGCCAGTCACTTTTTCTCCACCCTGGTAAGAAGGCAATGGCAAATCTATTCTGAAAAACCTTGCCAAGGGACTTGTCCAAGCAGTCTCTGAGAATCAGACATGATTGAACTGGGGGTGGGGGGTGGGGGCATAATAATGTTCTGCTAACATGATAGTGGTGTTTAATAAGAATCAGGGACAAATGTCCAGCATAATCTGCCCAATTGCTGTAAATCAGCTGAAAGGCAGAAAAATGGTTCCTGGTATTGTTCCTGCTTTGAATATGTACATGTGATTTCTTATTGCTGGAACTCATTCTATTATACCCTGTTCCATCATATCTTTCTCTCTCTCCTTTCCCAGAAAATAGTATATGCATGCCTGCGGGAGGGAAAGGCTTTTAAGCATATAAAAATGCTCTCATCTCAATATTATTTAGATATTGTTAAGAACCCTCTCCTTATCTTTCCATCCACCTTTGATATGAACTAAAACAATGTTTTTAGGCCTTAGCAACTTGGTGACCTGGTGATATTTCATTATAGTAGTAACCTTATCTGACCTACTTAGCTTTTTTAGGACAACCCAGGTTTGCTAGATATCTAAGTGTGTCCACATAGAATGAGCTGTAGCTCAAAGAAGGAACATCTGATTCATGTGCACTTGGCTCTATTATTTCCAGAAAGAACCTGCCTAAAGTCATGAAAATAATTGAGAGTTAGCATATGCAATATTGAGCTACAAAAACAACTTGACCAAATGTAGCATCTACTTGTCCAGGGTGTCACAATGGGATCTGCTTTGTTGTTTCACATTGTCTGGGGTCAAATATAATGCTAAACCATGTTCAATCTCCCATTGGCTAGGGATTTGCAAAACACAGTGCCATTCTTCCCTAATCTTGGCATCCTTCAGATATATGGAACAACTCCAGAATCCTCTGCAATATTAAGGCTGGACTATAAATTGTGGGAGTTGATGTCCAGGTCTCTGGAGAGCATCCAGGATTAAGAAATCTGCACCATCATAAACAAGGTTGACAACCACAAACACATTTTGGTTTAATATGTGAACCAGGCTACTCATGAATATTCTTCTCCTTCAAGTGTATTTTTTACAGCCTGTCTATAAAATATCACCTCATCCATTCCATAAACTATAGATAAACAAGAGGCATTGTAACCATTCATTAAGTTGAATCATGAAACTTCACTGGTGCAATTAATCCACATGCAGGAATGGAGCTGTCCTTAGTACTGTAATTTTTTTAAAATAACACACACAAACACACACACACATGCACACAAACACACATGAACACACCCTTTTCCTGCAATATGCAGACTTTTCTCAAAAGAGAATATTACTTTGAGACATGAAAGTTCTGCTAATCTGCAAAGAAGTCTGAATCAGTTGCATTTAAAAGACTCCTATGAAGTTAGAGCACCCACCCCACAAAAAAGCTGCTTGTCACCGTGCCTCTGAGTCATCACTACATCATTGTTTCCTCCTATTCACTTCTCACTGGCTGTGTAAAGACCCGGCACATCTGGTTTTCATTAAATAGCTGCTTTTTCCTCCAGTAAAAAATTCTAAAACATTCATCCACCACACCAGATGCCACCCTGGGTTCTCCTTCCAGTTAGGGAGGGAATGGAAATGAGTGTTTCTACCAAACAGAAGAACAAAGGAACAAGCTCAAGCGTGCTTTTATCTCTAAACTTACAAAGAAAAAGTTTCGGTACATCAAGGAACAGTCTGAAAGTTGAGTCATGCCAACTCAACTTACTTCCTTGTTGGTTTGTGACATTGAGCTGTCATCCCAGACGTTTCATCAATCTGAGAAAATTAGTTAGGCAGAGAGTCACTGGAATGTACCAATGCCTTCTGCACCAACCTCAAGGGATTCCTCCCCAAAGCACATGGCAATCTATCTTCTTCTATCTCTATCTATAAGCTCCCAGAGCTGGTTTTGATTGATTACTCATTGTGTTCTGAGGTTCCAGCTCCGGAATAAAAGCTCTGTGTGGACACTCGACATTCTGGCTTTTTCCCCCCCCCGAAATTGGCTGGGGTGTGTGTGTGTGTGTGTGTTTGTGTGGAGCGCCTTGAGCAATTTCAACCAAACTTGGTACACTGATGACTTACCCTTTGGAAACAAATACTGGGAGCAGGGGGGGAAGACACCCCTGGTGTGTGGGTGTGTCTGTGTGGGTGTGTTCCAGCCTAACTCTGGGGCGCCTCCAGCAATTTCAACCAGACTTGATACACAGATGACCTACCCTCTGGAAACAAATACTGGGGGGAGGGAATACCCTGGGGGGGGGGATGTCTGTGTGTTCCAGCATAACTCTGGAACGCCTGGTCCATTGAGGCGAGCAAGTGTGGCATCCTAGAGTGGCAATTGTTTGTGATGTCATGGGAGGGAGAAGGGAGAGGCATCAACCTCAGGGGTTTCCTCCCCAAAGTGTGTGGCAATATGTCAATAAATATTTCGATCACTCTTTGTCTAACTAATTTGCTCTTGATGAAGCTGCTTCAATGAACAGTGAAAAATTTCAAGCCAATAAGGAAATAAGTCCAGTTGCCATAACTCAAGTTTCAGACAACAATCAGTATTTTCCAAATTGTATTTCCCGGTTCCTAACTTTACATTCCTACAGAACAGGAATCTTCTTGGACCCTGGTTAATTTCCAATCGATTCTCTCCTTGCACAAATACTTTTTCTGACCTGCTATCAACTCAAATCTAAACGGCCGTAGCGTTTGGGGGAAGTGGATGGATCAATGAGAAAGTATGGAAATGTTGAGTCAAAGCTTCCAGAAAGAGACGTGATTGTCTCTGTTTTGATACAAAGTTATTCTGTGTACTCTCAGGGGTGTTCTGTTCTACAAAAAAGAGTCAATAAAAAGCTTGAAGAAGCTACATTTTTTGAAACAAATATCTGAACTTAGCACCAGAAAAGCTAGTGGTGTTGTTGCATTTCTGATATTTATTCAGCTTCTTCTTCTACAACTGTTTTTCTTCTTATTTCCAGGATTTAGTTTCCAACATATTTTTTTTAATGCTTCTTAGTCATAGTTGGCAAATGCATAAAATTGTTTATAAAATTGCTTTAAAAAACATTACATCAGGTGTTTTTCTGCGTATGATATTTTATCATAGTGTTTTCAACGAACTGGAAGTCAAAACTATAACCCTGGGAAAATTATACCACATCTCTGGTATGAGACAGTGATTTATACTTTGAAATTTATTTAATTGTTCCATAATAGGTATCCTCCCTTATTATATTCCATTGCCCAGACATACTTTACATTGTTCTTATCTGCACAAGTAAACCTTTGCCAAGAATTTTGTATGCTACTGTTCAGAACCAGAAAAACAGGATCTTTTATGTATCTTCTAGCCCATCTTATGTAAGAAAGCAAATCTTTAAAAGTAAAATAAAAACCATAAAATACTGTAAGCTCCAATTCTGGAAGCACGGAGTAGCTTATAATAAGCCAATACAGAGTAAAATAAAGATCTCCACTTAGAGATGGGTGTTAATCAGCTGGTCCCAAATATTCACTTTATATATTCTCACTCTTTTAAATCTTGGAAGTACAAGGGGGTCCAAATATTCAGGAGTAGTCTGTTCAAGCAACAGCTATAAGTCTGAGTAGATCCTCCAGGTTACAAGCCTTCAGTGAAATACAACCTGGTTTCAGGCCAAGTTACGGGATAGAAAAGGCCTTAGTTATACCAGTGATGGTATAACTAATTGGCCGAACTGGTTGTGGTTTGGAAGCCTGGGTCACTGGAACTGTGAGCAACCCAGGCCTGCCACGCCCCCGAACCGGTTCTCCGGTTCTTGTTTTTTGCTTTTGCACATGCACAGAACAATTTTTATTGACTTTAGTGACCGTCCCAAGTATCAAAAATGTGACATGACATTTTTTCACAGTTACAACCTTTGCAGCATCCCCCTGATCATGTGATCAAAATTCAGACGCTTGGCAACTGGCTCATATTTATGACCATTGCTGCATCCCAATCAGAGGCGGTATTCAGCTGCTTCAGACCGGTTCTCTCGAACTGGTAGTAACAATTCTACAGTTCGGCAAATGCCACCACTCATTGGCCCTGCCCACACAGTCACACCCATCCAATCACATGACTGCCTAACCATTCCCACCAAACCACACCCACTAAGCCACCCCACAGAACCAGTAGTAAAAAAAATTGAATCCCACCACTGATCCCAATGTTATGTGAGCCCCTTCTGCGACCTTATGACAAGCAAAGTCAATGGGGAAGCCAAATTCACTTAACAACCGGGTTATTAACTTATCCGCTGCAGGGATTCACTTAACAACTGCAGCAAGAAACATCATAAAATGGGGTAAAACTCACTTAACAAATTTCTCTCTTAACAACAGAAATTTGGGGCTCAATTGTGGCCATATATTTTAGTATTGCTCCAAGTGTCCCTTTTACTATTTTATCTGTCAGAGCTTGTTCATAAACCAGGAACTTCCCTGGATTGGTGGTTCCCTGGTAGACAGTCTGCCAAAAGTCACTGCCACCCATTTAATCCAGAGTCAACTAATCACTCAATCACGAGTTTGGGGAAAACTCCAGGTATCCTTCAGAAACTCACGGGATTCATTAAACCCTGGGCAAATGCTACCAAATATATGTAGTCCTCATTTAGTGACAGCTCTGTTTAGAGGCCATTAGCAGTTAAAAGAGTGATGAACAAGGAAGCTTGCAACCAACCTTGCATTTATGGTCCTTTTTTTGCAGGTCTGTAAAGTGAAGGAAAGCTGAAATAATAAAATCATGAGAATAACCACTTCACTTAACGACTGAGTTGCAGTGCAAATATCTACGGTGTCAGTAAACGCTATGGAAACTGGTGACTTACCTGATCATGATAAAAGATTGATGACAATGTTCCCCACCTTCAGCTCATGGTCCAATTTGTAATTCACTTTTGTAATCACTTGGGACATGCACATAATGCAACACTCCAGTATTTGGTTCCTGAAAAAAATAGAGCGGGGAATAAGGAGTAAGGTTTCACTCCTCTGAATCCTAGTTCAGTGATGGAGTGCCGAAAAGGTCATGTGGAAACATTGCATGCGCTTATTGGGGCTGCATTCCAGAAAAGCCATATTTCCGGGTTCTAGTGCGCATGCGCGCCTGGTGATCAGCTGGCCAGCACACATGTGCAGGCCACTTTTCGGCACTGCCACATGCCTGAAGTGATAGCGCTCTGGAAAAGCCGAATGTCTGGGTTCTGGCATGCATGCGTACCCGACTATCAGCTGGCCAGCGTGCATGTGCACACCAGTTTTCAGCACTGCCGTGCGCGTGAAGAACAGCTGATCATCATGCACTCATGTGAGCCAGAAACCTGGAAAACGAACAGGCAAGGCCGCACGTGCCAGGCAACATGGCTTCACGTGCCACTTTGGGCACACGTGCCATAGATTCCCCATCACGGCCCTAGTACTTTGAAAGCTGTGATCTTCCCTGGTGTGACTTTACAACTTGGGTCTTAGCCTTTCGTCACTCTTAGCCTTTCATCAATCTTTCACATTGTTCTTGACTTCTGTAGACAAGCTGGTAGACCTGCAACTACCAGGTATCTCCAGGTCTTCTGAACTCAAATTTATTCACCAATTGCTGCCACCTGGCATATGCAATATTTGGGCCACTTTTGTATTCCATGCATTTTTTTCTGGAAACCCAAACTAATGACTGCTGTAGGAAACACAACTGGAAAGAGATGATACTGAATCATCTATCTGATATGTAGTTTGCCTCAGTGACATCAGTTACACAAGGTAGCTATTAAAAATGAAGGAATTGTTTGTTGGCACAGGTTTAAGGTCAGTGAGTTTAACAAAACCATGCTGCCATAAGGGGAAACAATATGAAGAAGCTGAGGTATGTTGGGAACCTGGGACAAATAAAGATTTGAATCCTATGCACATTACCCGGGAGTAAATTTCACTGAACTTTAAACTCAGAAGGACTTATTAAAGCGTAGTACGTATAAAACTGATCATGCTAGTGACACATGAAATTGATCTAGCTGATTTGACTGAGCTTGCAATTTAATCAAGATTAATATTTGGATGGGGGCTGCTAGAAAATCCCAGAGCTTTGATTAAAAGGGGAAGTAAAAAGAACACCCTAGAAGACAGTGATGTAAAGTCATTTTTCTAATACTGCCAAAAATTTGCACAGGAGTCAAAGTAAATCATTAGAAGTTAACCTGCACTTGGGATCATCTTTACTTTCACCAAATTTATTTGACCTTGGCTAAAATAAGCAAGGTTGGTTAGTATATGTATGACAGACCTCCAAAAATTCCAAAGCTATAAGATAGAGACTGTAAAATATATCTTCATTGTAAAAATATCCATGAAGAGCCAGGTTGACTCCAAGGAGTCTTTACTTTATGCACTGCATTGTCCACATAACAGCAAATTATTATCAGGATGAAAAATCCTACATTACCAATTGAGATAAAGTTTGGAGAGCAAAATAGCTGTTCTTTCTACAGTAGATATCCATTCCAATCCATATGATTTCCCCCAAACGCCCTATCCCCATCATGACATACAGGTAGTCCTCAACGTACGACCACAACTGAGCCCAGCATTTCTGTGGCTAAACGAGACAGTTGTCTGTCCCATTTTATGACCTTTCTCGCCACAGTTGTTAAGTCACTGTAGTTGTTAAATTAGTAATATGGTTGTTAAGTAAATCCAGCTTCCCATTGACTTTGTTTGTCAGGAGGTCGCAAAAGGGGATCACATGACCCTGGGACACTGTGACTGTCATAAATATGAACTAGTTGCCAATCGTCCAACCTTTGCTCATGTGACCATGGGGATGCTGCAAAGGTCGTAAATGTGAAAAATGGTTGAAAGTCACTTTTTTCAGTGCTGAAAAAATGGTCACTAAGTTAATGGTTGTAAGTTGAGCATTATCTATATAGAGATAAATATTATGGTGGAATCTGCACCTGGAGTGAAGGGTTGAAGTTAAGAGACTGACTAGCTTGGAATCTCTGCAGAAGAGAAAGGGACAGATNGTGGAACAACTTGCCTCCAGAAGTTGTGAATTCTCCAACACTGGAAGTTTTAAAGAAGAAATTGAATAACCATTTGTCTGAGGTGGTGTAGGGTTTCCTGCCTGGGTAGGGAGTTGGACTAGAAGACCTCCAACGTCCCCTTCCAACTCTGTTATTTTGTTTTATTATTAAGACTTTCTGTAAACGTTATCAGTCTTTTATGACATTAAATGTCAATATTTGATCATGATAAAGATGGCTCTGTGCCCAGTCCCATTTCACTCTCTACCTGTGGCCCAATTAATCTGCTTTTTGTTGACTCATAATTTTCATGCTGCCTTTTCATTTCTACTCCACACTTTTTCCAAGATCTCAAACTGCCACTTACTTTTTCACTATCCCCTGTCTGGTTCTCTTTGCAAAGGCCTTCTCTGTGATGCCAGTTCTAGTTTATTTTTCTTATTTTGTCTTGATTGTCTGACTTTATCAACTTCTGTGAACTCATTACAAGTTCAGAACAGCAACCACTTCCCAAGTTAAAGAAAAAGAAAAGTTGAAGGAAATTGATGACAATGTATCCCAATTCTCTAGTGATTGTGAACTTCTAGCCTAATTTCCTGCATTCTCACAATCCTCTGTATGTTTGTGTGTGTGTGCTTATTCAATTTATATTGAATTATAACAGAAGAACTCTGGATAGTACAGAAAACAACCTTTGTAAATTATGCCCTGTAGGCAACATGAGGCCAATATTGTAAGGACAATAGATAAGGGCCTTGATAATATCATAATCTATCTCTCTCTCTTTCTCTCTCTCTCTCTCTTTCCCTCCCTCTCTCTTTCTCTTTCTCCCCCTCTTCCCGTCTGTCCCTCCATTTTTAGAGCTTTTCCTGAAGGAGTGGTAGGATGAGTGGACAAACCTGTTTACGTTGAACATCAGAAAGAAATATGTAACTACCAGATTTTCTCAATGGTAACCGATAATAAATTGAATTTTTTTGAATTGTTTGGATTAGGTTAAGGGTGTGCTTGACCCTGAGATTGCCATTATAATACTTAATCACCACCCAGATAGGTTTTTTTCAAAGAGGTTTTCCAACAAATAAGGCTGCCATGAACCAATCACATCCATCAAAAAAGGAGTTATATGCTTTCCTTCAGATTCCAGGTATTATTTTCCCTTCAGTGAGTAAAATATTACTGAGAGCTCATCTTTTAATAATTTATCAATTGTTATTTGATATTGTCAAGTCTGACTGAAAAAGGAAGCTCTTTGTTTTCAAAATATGTAGCTTTTTATACTGGCATATGGTACCTTGTATATACTATGCTGTGTATGCTAAACTCTGTAAAGCAGACTTCTAATTTCAGATGAATTGAAATAATTTTAAATTATTTTAAATATATTTGAAAAATAAATATATTCATCCCAAAGGAAAATGATCCTGAATTTAAAGTAATCCCCACTACCACAAAAGAAAGCCTAATTGAAAATACCTCAGCTGTCCCGATATCATAGTTTCAATAAATAAAAGATAATCAGATAATGTCTCACTTTACAGATAAATTATTTTGGAAGAAAAGAAAAAGGACAGATTCCCAGTAAACATAGTGACAAGGGAAGGGAGAGGGGACCAGAGTAAAATGCGAAAAGTATTTTTTTAAAAAATTCTGGGAGTTTTAACTACTGACAAAAGCCAGGGAGAAAAAACAAGTCAGAGAAGCCACAATGGAGACATCCCTTTCTCTTACAGGATATGACTTTAGTATCAAAGCTAGATAACTGGTTTTTTTCAGCAGTACGGAGAGATGAAATGTGGTTACAGGTTCCTTATTGAGTGTTTCTCATGTCAGTTTCCCACTAACCATATCAGACGTTAACCAATCCTTGTGTCAACATCACTAATCTGTCTTACCTCTGATGTAATACCCATTGCCAGATTTGCAGGTCTTCAGATGTTATAGATATGCTGGTTGGTTTGCTCTTCTGATTTAGTTGTTGTCCCATTAGCACATCATTAGCCAATGGGGAAATGCATTTCATTCAGGATGATGGAACACATGTGATGTGTATTCGTTGGGCAATTTGAAGACCTCCCCATGGAATCAGCTAGACAAACTGTCAATTTTTCATCCAACATGCCATTTGGACAAATTGCAACAGGACGTTCTGAAATTCAGAAAGATGAAAATATGAATCTACCACAAATTGGAAATTTTCAAACATGCCCTAGGGGAATTACTAGGGCATTAAAAAGCCCAACAAAACACTCTATGACTGTGCAAATAGCTAAGTTCTATTAAAAAAAAGCATAACTGAAATTGGTTAACCTCTCATCTAGACAATCATACTTTCTATTTCACTGGAGAAAAGTCATGGTGTGCAAAATGAGCTGTACTGGAAATGAGATCAAAAGGAAAGATGGAGGTTAACATAGCATTATGCTGTTGCTTCAACTGTTAATAGACACAGGACCTCATTTTCCTGTGATAAATTTAATTTCAGGGACCATCTGCAAGTGTTCAGAATAACCTTACACCCCATCCAAAGGCATGAAACCCTTGCTATCTTTCAACCAAAAAAAATACCACCACATTCTCTCTTTTTAATCTTTTACTCCATCCCATTGCAAGTGTTAAGACCAAAGGTATAGCTCCAGATTCGTTCTGTTTTAAAGACTAGGACTATACTTTGGGGACTATATTCATGTATGAAGATGGAAGGAGACTAAAAAATAAAATCTTGAAATCAGAGCAGCTCTAGTTAAGACTAGGTTTTACAGACCAGATAATGTTAGCTGTTGCCAAAAAGAGAGTTGAAGTTTATAGAGGACAAACATGAAAAGCTGCTCAGTCAAAACTCAACTTTTTACTTTTTCTCTCCTCCAGGTTATGATGATGGGAAACTCCAAAATGGCAGAGCTGCTGCTGCCGAGAGGAGCAGATCCCAACCGGCCAGACCCCTCCACAGGTGCAACACCAGCCCATGATGCAGCCCGGGAGGGATTCCTGGACACTTTGAAGCTCCTATACCACAGGGGGGCTCACTTGGATCATCTGGACAAACAAGATAACAGCCCGCTAGACCTGGCAAGAAAGAATGGGCAAAATCACGTGACTGATTATCTGGTTGAAATGTTTCAATGTGATACATGAAGAAGCAGTAGAAAAACTGGAGCAGGGAATGCTCCTGAAAAGTAATGAAAATGACACCAATAAAGACCATGGTGGTATGGATAAGCCTGGGACATTCATGCTGGATGCCCTTTTTTTTTCCTCAAGACTCATGGAAAGACTAGAAGGAACATGCTCTTTCCGACTGAAACTGGGGTCTTCTTTTTTTTTCATTAAAAAAAACATTAACTGCATATAGGGAATTTATCAATTGGAAAAAATAGTTCCAATGAGGTCTCTCTTCTGGCTTGCTAATTTGACTGTATATGTGCTCAGATTTCCTCCCCACTTCCCTCCTTCCACCCAAACGGAACTGCAACTCACCATATAATTCTCTTCCAACCCTTGCATTGTACCACATGGTTCCAATGGTTTTATGTTAATTTGTCTTGCTTGTTCAAAATAAATAATTTATTGCTATTTGGAGAAGGGGGGACAGTGGAACAACTGGAAAGAACTTCAGATGAAACACCCTTTCAAACCTACTTGGGAACGCCATGCTCCCATCTACACACACGTACACATCTAACTGTGTCACACCATTTGGCTTCTCTTAACAGACTTCTTCCAACAGGTTCAATAGCTTGGCAAGATTTCTGCCCTCTGGCATGAATGGCCAGGAAAATCCTTTTGCTGAGAGCAGTGTGGCTTCTTAAGCCACGACCTCCCATCTTATCACAAGTAGAAAAGAATGCAATCAACTCTGTGGTGCAAATCACTTCATGGAGCTGAGTCCAAGTCACTTTCCACAGCCCTGCTTTCAGGAATGCTTGCAGAGGAGGGTCAAAAAAATACAGCATGTCAATTGCAAACATATGATCAAAGGCCTTTTCTATATGTGTCATACATGTGCTCCCTTCCACACACGCAAAAGAATCAGGGCTTTGTCATGCAGTTATACGACTTCCATCCTGAGTTTTTAAAATCTACTCCTCAAATGTCCTCACTCCCTTCTTAATGGTAAGGACTTTAGCTGGCCCACTATCAAGTCTGTGACTTTGGGAAGCACATGGATATAAGCATCAAATGTATTCTCCCATTCTCTGCCAGAATGCCTCTGCTAGAGAGTACTATATGTAAGTGGAATATGAGTAATAAGTAACAACTCCCAATCTCACTTGGGATCCTCAAAATAAAAGAACCTACATTGGTTAGGCAACTTCAAACTTTCCATTTTTATTACAATTGCTACATCACCAATATCACTACTATATTCCTTAAGCCAAAATGCTTTTTTTCCCCTGCCAGGAAGATGCAAGGGAATGTAGTGTGTTCACCTTCTCTTGGAATATTATATGTCAGTAAAAGATTCACTATTCAAAGGCAGCAGAAGTGCCTTTGAGCAAATAAGAGTGCTCACAGAGGGACTACTGACTTCCTGTGTGTACAGGAAATCAGAAATGATCAGTCCCTTGTGCTCAAGCAGGATCTAAGAGCTTCTCAGTTTTAACTCCCATATAATGCACACCAACATTGAACGGATTCTCATGACAGCCAAGCCTTCTGGGCATGTCTTGAGCTACCTCCTGGTGTTTTGTTGCCAAGAAACCTAAGGGACAATATGAAAATAGTTTACACTGTTTTCTTCAGGAATGTTGTTCTAATTTCCAAATTAGACTCTATAGCCTTCAGATTTCTCTGGTGATCTTTCATCCAACTATTAACTAGGTGTAACCCCACTTAGCTGTTTGAGCGCTGCTCAGAAAGACCAGGTGTGGTTCCAGCCCTGTTCTTTGCTACAGTGCTAACTCTTTTGATATTCTGCTCTGAGGGGATCTATTCTAATGGTAGATCGCTAGGCTCACCTCAAATGAAGCTTGAGGGCCAAGTAACAGCTTGTTCTGTGCAGTACTGGCATCCTAATTAGCACTGGTGGGTGTGGAGGAAGGACAACATCTTGTTCTTTCCATAAATGATCAAAGCTGACCCTTAAATTAGACCAGGTGTGTCCAACTTTGGCATGGCTTGCTTATGAATTCAGGGGGTTAAAGTCCACAAGTCTTAAAGTTGCGATGTTGGACACTCCTGAACTAGATAATCACTAGATAGGAAACAATTGTAATGATGAATCTATAGTCATTGGGTGTTCCTGAGTGTGTGGCTATCAGTTCTCTTTCTAGCAGTCACAAATATGAATTAAAACTAAAATCAACAAAGACAACTTTGTTGAGATTTTGGCAGAGAGAAAGGGAGAAAACATGGAGCAGTGAAATGCCAAATTGAGGAGCAGTGAAATGCCAAATTGCGTACACGGTACAAGCTGCATCCAGCGAATTCCACAACAAAGGAAACAAAAGCTGAGCCAAGAGACGAATTTAAAACATTACAAATTACCTCAGAAAGGAAAGACATGAATGAGAAATAGCACAGGAAGCATTCAACAGTGCAACAAAGAAGAAATAAAAAAAAACAAGGTAGGGGGGAAAAAAGTATTTTTCCTACTACATCTTGATTCTCATGGAGCTGTAAGGTACTCCTTTACTTAAGAACAAGCTTGCTAGCTTGAGAAAAGAAGACTATACTTCCTCTCCAAATGAGGTTTAGGAAAAATAGTCACTCCTCAGAGGCCAACCCAAAGGTTTTGGGTAAGCTTTGTCTATTTATACATTCTTTCACATTGTGGCAGTTTTTGTTTCCCTAAACAGCATCCAATTTAAACTTGATAAGCTTATTGAAAACTCTGACACAGGTGCTACTAATTGCCACCTCACACTATCTAACAGTACAAGATCCTTCATCAGTCTGAGGGTATAGTTGGAGTACTTCAAAAGAACCAGGCTCTGCTATCTATCCTCTAAATAGTCTGATTGCTAGGAATCTTACACATGGAAAAGCAATAATGAGCTTTTGTCAATGTTGTTATGCTGCAGCCTCATTCTACAATTGGTGAAATTCATTTTTTCCCATTAATCTACATTTAGAACCTTATAATGTCAAAGTGAAAAGAGAATTTTAGAAATGTCTATAAATTGAAAAAGAAAAAAAAACTGAAATATCATATTGGCATAAGTATTTGCAACAATATGTAAGGTTGACTCCATTCAAGATGTGGAAATATGTGAGCAACAATCAAAAGAAATGGGAGGCAACAGAGCTAAATTTCATGTATTGTTGCAAAGGGTCCGAATACTTATTTCAATGTGATATTTCAATTTTTTCTGTTAACTAAATTTACAGACATTTCTAAAATTCCATTTTCACTTTGTTATTATGGGGTACTGAATGTAGATTAATGAGAAAAAAATGAATTTCAACAACTATAGAATCAGGGTGCAGAATAACAAAACTGACAAAAGTGAAGGGGGTCTGAATACTTTCTGAAGGCACTGTTCTTCTCTTTTAGAAAGTCTGAGAGATTTATCTCAATCATGGCCATGGTTGAAATAGCTTTCTCAGCTTTTCTAAAACTAAAAGTATAGCAACAGTAGTTTTGCATTTTAACATGCATACACACAAATGTACACACTGTAAAACTGATATCCAGGTAAGCAAGCTGGAGTCATATATGGCTTTAAACCACATAAAATGCCTCCTTGGCATTGCTTAGGTAGCTATTCCACAAGATAAGTTTTAACTGGACAAAGTCTGAATACATCAGACAATTGCTATACATACATACATACATACATACATACATACATACATACATACATATAAAATGATATATTTAATAAGATATATTTGCATATCAAAATTCACAACTCAGAAACGAATCTAATCCTTAGATGAAAAAGAGAATCCACATCTACCAGAGCAAAGGATTTGGTATATTGTCCTTAAAAGTCAGCAGTTAAATAAAAAGAGGAATAGAAGATGTCAGTAAGAAGTAGACTGAGGGTTGAAAACACCCAGGCAGGAATTTTCCTATAAGAAATACTGCATGCTAGTAAAAAGACAAAAAGTGGCTTATGAGTGCAAAATGGATAGATTTAGAAAGGAAAGGAAAAGAAATTCAACATAACCAATTATAATTATAATTGCTTCAGAATAAGAAACAAGGATTTTACTTTCTGAATAAATAATAATCAATAATTGAAAATAACAAATAATTAGAAAAAACACTGAAATTACAAAAGTACCTTTTGCTTTTCAACTTTTTATTATAAATTTCAGACAGGAATCTCTTGAATTTTCTATTGTCTTTGGAGGGTCAGCTTCTTGAATACATTGTATTTCTTGTGAGAGCAGATATCAAGAGGCTTAACCTAAAATAAAAACAGAACTTGAAAGAAAACCAAGTCTCCTTAATACCTGGCAAAGAAAATGGCAAGAAACACTGACATAAACATGCATACACACCCATCACGCTATTCAGGCTAGAAGTAGATTTAGACCAAGTGCAGAAAAAGAGTTTTAAAAAAAGGCTAAAGAAATGAAAGATATGATTCATTAAAGGCCTCTTCACTTTATTACCAGTATAATACTTTTTTTTGGAATACAATAAACTTTTTCACATTTGTACATTCCTCAACGACTTGCCAAAGAGCAAAAGTTGTTCTGCCCAGCAGAAACTGCCCTTCACAAATTTTGTTTACTCTCTCCTTGCAGCCAAACTCTCTCTTAGATAAATCTACACCCCCTTATAGTTTTTTATTTCACCCTTGCGCCCCTTCCCTTAGTATAGTATGGTTTTCAATATGAAAGGGAGGGGGGTCACAAGACAATGGATGGAGAGTTGCCCAAAAGTGCCTCTCACACTGCTTTTCAAGTAAGTTAGCCAGTTTAGTGCAAAGTATGTTGTGTGGAAAGGAATGCTCCGGAAAGTTGCAGATCCCTCACAAAGATTGAGTAGTCTGTGTGGGAAAATTAGTACCCTGGATTTACCTTTCAGAAAGGTTATTTACCTGGATTCTTTCAAAAATCTGACCATGTGACCTGGTGCTTCCTCTGTAGAGAAATTGCTACAAAGAATCTAGTGAATATGTGGTTGTACTGGAAGAAAGGGTGCCACAACTAATTTACAGCCTGCCATTTTTTGGAAGCTGCAGAATTGTAAGAATAGTTGAAGAACAGTTAAACTGTGGCAAAGAAACACCTTTTTCTTTTCTCTCCCACCCCCCACCCCCACTTGCTTTCATAAAATAATAGGGTGTGTCTTGAAATTGATGGCCAAATTTCA